AGTACCTAATATACTCCTAAAAGTCCTAGGATTTGGCTAAGGTATGTGGATGATATTTTCGCGATATTCGATACCAAAAAATCGAATATTGAGTTCTGTTGATTCCAAAGACGTTTCATCGAATGAGTCTTCAATTAAAGAAAGCATATTCTGTCTCTAAGAGAATTATCAGATATCAAGTATAAGTTTGGATTTATATTTGTTCATCAATTATTGAAATCTGATCAATCAGAATATAGTCACAGAAGGGTGATTTAAATATTACTGAAGTTTTTTCCCCAACACCAAATCGTTATTTTTAACACCCCGACACGTGTTTCGATCACCAAGTGATCTTTCCCTTTAACACAAGATAGGTTCACAATAGAAAGACGTACAATACCGGAAATAGCAGTCACTAACGGTTTCTCGAGGGGTATTGTAGATGACATAATAAGGAAGAATAAGTTTAGGTTAGGAATGAACGAAATCTCTACTTTCAGAAAGGACAAAAACCAAGATAAATAGATTTCAGTTCCATACCACCAATATACGAGGAACTTTGGAAAGATTTTCAAGGAACTAGGTACGAAGGTGGTTTTAAAAACAAGTCATACACTACAGCGCCTTTTGGGAATTCCAAAAAGTTGAGAATTCTTAAAAGTCTGGAATTTACGAAATTGAATGTATGGACTGCGATCCAAAATATTATGGATAGACAAAAAGATCTATTAAAGTAAGATATAAGGAACACATAGCACACTTAAAATATGGAAGATCTGAAAAATCAGCAGTCGCCCATTATATTTTGAACAATACCATTCCATAGACTTCAGTTCATTAAGATTAGTTAACATATATTGTAAAATAATAGATGAGAAAAAATTGTAAAATTAATTTAGGCTGGTATACCTGTATGGGTGGTACACCTGGATGGGTTACCTGTATGGGATATCTATATAGCATAAATAGTTTCAATTTTCCTGTTTGAAGATGATCACTTGGTGATTCAAAACACGTGTCGAGGTGTTAAAAATAACGATTTGGTGCTGGGAAAAAACTCCAGAAATATTCATTACTTCACCGAAGGTTCCAAACAGTTCATCATAAGTAGATGATGTGTTTCATAATTTCGTTAATTCATTCACATTGACATTTTCATTCTCACAAAGCAATTTAGGAAATTATGTTCTGTGAACTGTTTTGTAAAAATTGCAAGTGTTATTACATGCGTTTGTGAATACTTTTCAACATGTATTACCTTATTCCACCACAAATAACTGCAGTTTGTTACCAAATCTCCCTTCATTTCAGGATTAATGCTGATAAAAGTATTCAATTTTCTTCTCGACAGTTTATGAAGAGAATTGTGGACTGGTGGATGAATTTGGAATTATCCAGATTGTCAATATCGAGTCTAACCTCAAAAATCAGGAATTCATTTGTATTTTTTGTTGTAGTAGTTTCATTGTTAGTCGATAGACTACCAAAGTCCTCTTGGTGATTCCAACTTTAGTTTTCAATTCCCTATAATGTAGTTTTGATACCTTTCTGAGTTTCCACGAGTTTAAAGTTCAGTAAAGCATTAGAATAGGTTTTTTCAAATGACTTTTATTAACACTGTTAACATGAAAATGAAATAGTCATAATTCTTTCTACACGACAGGGTAGCAGGAATATAAACCTATTCCGCACTGACCATTTTTGTTCCTTGCCAATCGGATATAACCGTCCTCTCCCCAGGAGGTTCCCCAAGAATTCTTGATCAACCAATATTCCTGACCATTTTCCGATCCATATCCAACAACCAGAACAGAATGATTTATTACGGAAGCAGAGCATTCAGGGTTATCAAAGATTCCTTTCCCGTAAGACTGCCATTGATGAGTATTAAGGGTGACAGAGATTGGTCCAACCGTAGCTGAAAATAATGTAATTTAACAAATATCGAAGTTTGGTGGGATTCAGACACGTATGAGTGTGATCAAAGTTCAGAATGATAATAATGATAATACTAATTTATTCAACCATTTTCGGTACTTAATATATAACAAGTATATATATTATTTTACATTTGGGATTATTATCACGAATTACCACCCCAATAGTCTTTATCTATAAAAACATTTTTTTATTAGAAATACTTCCGTACAATTTTTGAAGATTTCATCTGATTTGGATTCCTTGATTGAATTTGGCAATTTATTTTCTAATTTATTCGATTTGTGGGAGGGTTCCCCTCATGACGTGTACGATAATTATGAGTAGAAGCATTCGTTTCCAAAGATGCAAGATTTTTCATTACATATGACACACAATTCAGTATATATATATGCATGTAACTGATAATATATTTTTCCATATGAGAATAGGTTTGCAGCTATCACGATAATGCATATCAAAAGTCAGACATATAATGCATTTTTGGACAACAATATTCTGATAAAATTCTACAGCATTTCCGTGACTTTATAATTACAGAAAAATGCGGATATGTCACTGCAAAATATCTATTAAAAACGTTTTTTTATTCACAAACAATTTCATTTGCTCATTCCGGTGCAGTCCGATTTCAGACATCAACATAGCACAACCACAGCTTTACTTTCCATCACTGACGACCTCTTCAAGGCTGTTGACTTAAATAAATTCACTTGTTTAGTACTTCTGGCTCCTGTGCGATAAACTCAACTTCTTTTTATAAATGCGCTGTCTCTGGTTAGAAAAACAGTTGGTGGAGGGTATCAGCTCAGAGATTCAGCCCGCAACTGTACGTGTTGCTCAAGGATCCATCCTTGGTTCTTTAATATCCAGCTTGTATATTTGTGACCTCCATCAGTCGGTGGAAAAATGCAACATTCATCATTACGCAGATGATATTCAACTGTACTTTCCTTTTCAGTTCCCTGACATTGATTCGGTTCAAAACCTCCTCAATCATGATCTATAGACCATCTTCGATATTTCATCAGCTGATAAATTGAAGTTAGACTCCAAAAAAGTCGGCAGTAATGATCTATGGATCGAATAGATTGTGAGATATTGCTAAAAATAGTCTTCATATTCATATGCATGGTGACATTTTGCCTTTTGTAACCGAAGTGAAGAACGTAGGCCTGTGGTTTGATTTTGAACTGCGCTCTACAAAACATGTTAGCCATTTGATTCAAACGGCTTTGAATATCTTAAGGTAACTGTTTCCAAATCGAGACTCACTCATCAAACAACCGAAACTAAAATTATGTGAGGCGCTAATCATTTCATATTGCAATAGCATTTATGGCGCTGCCCTTTGTCTTCAACGAATCCAAAACAGTCGCCTTTGGTTTTCTTTTGACATTCAAAAATACGACCACATATCACCGGTCGTGAGCGAACCAGGTTGGCTGCAACTAGAGAAACTCAGGACACTGCACCTACTCACAAACACCCACAAAGTCTTGAAGGCCGGAATGCCACATTATTCAATGAAAAAATTGAATTATGTCTCAAATATTAACAGCTCTTTCACTAACGCAAACGTTATTCGTTCTTTCAAGCCATTCAAATCTTCAAGTTTAGTTTTGTACACATAACACTTTACATATCCACATAAAAAGAAATCTAATGATGAAAGATCAGGTGATCGCGCTGGCCATTCAATCGATCCTCGCCTCCCTATTCACCGATTGGGAAATGTTGTATCGAGGTATTGCCGGACATTAACTTGGTAATGTGGTGGTGCTCCATTCTGCTGGAACCATATCGTATTCACTGGAGCTGTAGGGTTTCCTGGATCAGGATATACACTTGCTAAACTTGGAATGACATTATTTTGAAGTAGTGCCAAATAATTATCGCCATTCAAGATACCCTCAATGAAAAAGGGACCAGTGATATTGTTTCCTATAATCCCTGCCCAAACCTTTTGAGGGTATTGCGTGTGTTCTTCTCTCATCCAGTGAGGATTTTCCATTGACTAGTAGCAGCAATTTTGCTGATTAGCATGACCGTTAAGAGACAAATTACACTTAACACATCATAAATATTTTTGAGAAAGAACTGAACGTCTCCACAGGGAGATCTGTAGCAATTCAAAATGATATTAGTCGTTCCCTTTGTTTTGAAATAAATGTAAATTAGAAACAAAAATTTCGGTGTAATCTTTCAATTTTTTCTTCTCATAAATAAAATATTGGAATAAGTCACTTTTCCATTGAACATTATATGAATCAGCTGTCTTATGTTTTGTTCTTCGGGACCGATGGTTTCATGTGATTCAGACCGTTCTTCTGAGTCATTGGAGCAGAGAACAATCAATAATTTAGTGCAAACTCATCCGTAGCGACAGAAATACAAAAGTTTATCGCCAAACCACAAATTTCCGTGACATGTATGGTAATATTCCTTGGTACATACTTATGGTGTATATATTCGATAAGGGATTCAATGAATATCAGTCAAAAGTGATATTTTCTCCAACATGGTGTGTCCGCATTTGTCTTTGATTTTCGCAGTCACTGGATTATGTGCCGCAATTCCAAAACCCATAGATTGGGATGAAGTTGTGAGTATTTTTCATCGTATCACTTTTCGAAAGAATAATAATTGTATTATTTTCCAATTAGTATGGTATAAGGTGTTATGAGACATTCGTCGATGTGTCCCTAGTCCATTTTTTTCACCACTCAACAATTTTTCAAAATGACTCAGTTAAGTACTTCAAGATATCATCTGAATTGAGAAGACTATCATCTGTCAGAACATGAACATGATAACGAAAGGCCCTAAAGTCATTAAAAGAATTATAGCAATTTTAGATGAAGACATATTCCGTCTTATTATAACAAATAACTGCTGTCATTTACTGGTACGTGGACATTTTAAGACTCTGCCAACTGTATGAAAGAATAAAAAATAGATGCAATTTCGATAAAATGTCGGTAGTGAAAGAAAATAATAATGAAGTAACTGATAACGTTTCAATCAAAAAAATAAATTGATGGATGTAGCCGTTACTACGTGGTAGGAAATCATAATGAAGAAATGAGAAATGAAACTTTTTATGTTTTTTACCACTTGCACAATAAAAGTGGTGAAAAACATAGAAAAATTCATTTCTCTTTTCTTCGTTTCAAACAAAATAAAAATGCGTTATAAAATTTACTGTGAAAAAGTCAAGGCAGAAAAAAAGTTTTATCTTCCTCTTGAAGATGATCACTTGTGATCGAAACACGTGTCGAGGTGTTGAAAATAACGGTTTGGTGTTGGGAAAAAACTCCAGTAATATTCATTACTACACCAAAGGTTCCAAACAGTGCCATACAAGTGCAGAAAAATCGAATAAACACTTTGAACAAGAAGGAGCTAATTTTATGCAAATGTAATTATTGATTAAATAAATGATGTTAAATAATGTATTCAGTGTATCAAAGAGATAACATTTTCAAATGGTTTGATACTTACCAATGAAAAGGACACAATGAAAGAATTCATTTTCTTTTTTCTATGTACTGGCTCAATGTTATTAAAAGAATTCNAGGAACTTTCATTTTAGTAAATAAATCAATTTCAAGAAACACGGTTCTATGATCGGATATTTCGTTATCGAAAACACAGCACGGCCCTTTGTTATCAAAATTTATGAAAATTTGATCTATTGTAGTAGATGTAGTATGTGTCACCCGGGTTGGCCACCTCACCATCGGGCGCAAATCAAAACATGATAATATTTCACATAACGAATTAAAGTATATGTTCTTGTGCATGTCGAGATTAAAATCCCCGCAAATGATAAAATTTAGGTTAGGTTTATATAAATGATACAACACATCATAAATATTTTTGAGAAAGAACTGAACGTCTCCACAGGGAGATCTGTAGCAATTCAAAATGATATTAGTCGTTCCCTTTGTTTTGAATGATGCCGCACAGACTTCAAAATTCTGTTCGTTACAAAAATCGTTTAAGTCAATAGAGTGTATTTGGATGTCTTTTCTTGCCCATATAGCAAGTTACCCTCAATGAAAAAGGGACCAGTGATATTGTTTCTTATAATCCCTGCCCAAACATTAACCTTTTGAGGGTATTGCTTGTGTTCTTCTCTCATTCAGTGAGGATTTTCCATTGACTAGTAGCAGCAATTTTGCTGATTAGCATGACCGTTAAGAGACAAATTACAGTCATCAAAAAAGAACATCTTCTAATTGAATGATATTGTTATTCAATATGACCATCATTTTCTCACAAAAATAAATTCTATGAAAATCGTCTTCCATGAGCCCCTGAGTAATTATCATTTTATAGGGATGCATTTTATTCTCTTTCAATATGTTTACTTTCGATGTATGGTTAACAATGAATGTTGTGGATGCCTGTCTACTCGAAGTATGTGTGTTTTCCTCTAACTCAAGCATCACATAATAATAATAATAACAGGTCTTTATTCATCGTAATAAAAATAAACAGTAGAAAGATATGATGAAACATAATATGATGAATGGGCGAGGTTCAGCTATTATAGCTGCTTTCAAACCTAACCTTTCAAACTATAAAAGAATGCATGGTATCGTAAATAAATAATAAAATATTATAAAATGAAATAACTATAAAATAACACAAAATGATAAAATCGCGATATGGTGAAACAACATCTGGGAAATCGAAACCTATTTGATAAGCATGAGGACAGTATTGTGGTAACTTATTGACTCGTTGACATTAGAGCTTTGAGTCTTTTTTTAAAGTTCTTGAGAGGTAACTATTTGAAGTCTACAAGTATGGTGTTATACAATTTAGCTGCCATGTATGAGAAACTACGTGTAAAAATAGCCGAATTATGATTGGATATAAACAAGAGGTGTTGATTGCGACTGTTATTGTTGAAAGATAGTGAAATGAGTTTATCACGCAGATAGGGTGGAGTTCCGGTTTGCAATATTTTATGAGTGAACGTGAGAAGGTGCAGTTCTCTCAGGGCATTAAGTTTCAGCCAACCTGAATTCTCAAAGGATGAGCTTATGTGATCGTATTTACGGATTCCATACAAAAATCGAATACAACAATTTTGTATTTTCTGAAGACGCCGATCATCAGTTTGGTAAAGCTGGTCCGTAAATGCTATCACAGTAGGCCAGTCTTGAGAGTATCAGAGACTCACAGAGGCTGAGTTTCAAGTTTTTAGAAATTACAAGTCTGTTAGGATATAACTACCTCAAAATATTGAAAGAAGACTTGCATACGTAATTAACATGTTTTGTGAATCTAAGTTCGGTGTCAAGCCATAAACCTAAATTTTTACTTGCCTCTGCAAAAGGGATAGCGTGATTATCGATGTGAATATATAGAGATTCACGCACCGTACTTCTTCTATTTTTTGGTCCGAAAAGCATAACTTGCGATTTATTTGGATTGAGTTTTAAATTGTGTGCACAGGATATATCAAATAGCGATTTAAGATTTCTATTGATGAGTTTTTCGACCTCTTTAGTTTCATGAAAACTGAAAGACGTATATAGTTGGGTATCATCGGCGTAGTGGTGAATTTTGCATGTCTGTATGTATTTATGGAAATCACTTATGTAGAGAGCAAAAAGAAGTGGTCCCAACACTGAACCTTGTGGTACTCCATATCTCCTGACCAATGAAGTAGATTGTTCACCATCCAGTATGACATTTTGAGTCCGTTCTGATAAATATGTGTCTAAAAGAGTTACTGCGCTGCGAGAAAAACCAAAAAACTGAAGTTTTTTACACAAGATAAAAGAATCTACGGTGTCAAAAGCCTTGCTGTAATCAAGCAAAATGAGACAAGTGAATTTTTTTCCATCGCATGACTTGAAAATATCATCAGTGATAAGGGTCAGTGCTGTTGTTGTACTAAATTGTGGGCGAAACCCCGATTGCACGTCAGAAATGAGATTTTTCTCCACAGAGTAGTTGGAAATTTGATCCTTCATTATCATTTCCAGTGCTTTCGACATAGAAGTAGGCTGATGGGTCGAAAATCAGACAATTCGGTGGGATTGCTACATTTTGCTAGAGGGGTAACTCTGGCATGTTTCCATATAGATGGAAATCGACTTGTTGTGATAATGGATTTGAAAATAAATGTAATATGCGGCAGTAATTGAGGTATCACCAGATGTAACATACGGATAGAAATTTTGTCACAACCTACAGTACTACTTTTGAATTTATTTAAATATCTTCTGACTGTTTCAGTATCAATAGTTTTGAAGGAGAAATAATTTTCAGATATCTGTGAAGCATATCTCCCGCAAAAATCAATTTGATACCAATCATTTGTAAAACTGTTACTTTATGCATTTTCGTTAATCAAACCAATTGTCAGGCTTGAACTTAATGAACTTTAAACTTGAATTGAAATACTGACAACTGAAGTTGTAACATACAAAACAAGTTGACAAGGCGTTTTAAAATAACGTTGCCACGGAAATTATTTACAGTTTTCTAAAGGATACCATCTAAAAAGAACATTGCTATGGTTTTTTTTCACTTTCATATTATACACACTTCAACTTCAACATGAAATAAGTTTTGAGTATATTGCAATAAGTTTTGAGTGTATTTTATCGAATTTCGGTAACCACATGATTTTAGTTTATTTTTTCTTAATTGTTGCAATAAACTTGGAAGCAATAACATTTTTGAATAGCGAGTGAAGATACCTTCCAAACGATATATCACAAACCTTCCCGTTTGAAAAGTTGGGGGTTGTACCTGTCATTCGACGGGGGTTGAAGGTAGTGGTAGCATTTTTCCGTTGAAGTATGTCAAATTATAATTAAAATTTGACCTGTTTCGGGATTTTGTTCAAATATTTACCGTAAACAAAATAATTAATTTATTTGGCTTTTACACACTGTATGACAAGTTACAAAACACCATCAGCTATCTGAGTACCAAGAATATTCATACATTTTTCCATTTCAAATTCGAACAAAGAATGAACGGGATTGCTCGAAAAATATGAAAATTTCATTCTACATTTATTTTTGATCATGATGGTTACGTTTTCTTCATTTCCCAAAATCTGCAATCACATTTGTTTCATTTTTCATTCCATATGAGTCTGATACCTCCACCATGATAGTGATATCATCAAGATACATGAAAACTCACCAATATTCTTTGTTCAAGAACTCATCAATGGAATATAGTAGAAATAACAATGGACCAAAAGAACGCCTCATCCGTTCAGTAAAAAGGATACTACGTGTAACCTTCGCAAAAGAATCCTCAAAGGAAGTTTTGCACAATTTATTTTCAGTAAGCTGAGTATATTGTGAAAAGCTGTCCCCACTCCTGTGTTTCGATCGATCCAGAAAATCCAGATGAGCGACTTTATCGTTATGGATCAGGATTCTTGTAATTAGATGCTAATGAATTGGATCAACAACAATTCGAACTTGAAGTCATCTCGCACATATATTGCGTAGTTTTCGATATTGGTCTCGAAATTTTCAATGTATATGGTAGCTCGGTAGTCCCTGAGTAATATAATTGATGGATGGCAACAAACAATATCGTTAATTAATGATTTTGCACGTAGCCTCTGAATGTTGGTGTACATATAGTTGATTAATGCAAACTTTCTGTACCTAATTTTGAATTTCAAATTTTTTCACTCACCTACTTGATTTTTCAGGTCAATTTCATCGTTACTTAAGAAAAAGTAGCCTCTTATATGCACAGACCTATTTCCACGAATGCATTTTCCTTGGACCCCGGTGTACGGATAATCTGCTTCGGTTGTCAAACCTGTGTCTACAAGATAATCGAGAGTATCTCTAACGGGTTCTTCCAAACAACCATTGGGATAAACTCCACAATCTACCAGTTGTTGTGCACTAAGAGCAATTGTTTCATTGTATTTGATAAATATTTGGCCTTCTATGCCTTCTACCTGAAATACAAGACATAGAAGATTGAACCAGAAAATTGGGATACAAGATGGGTTTTAACGAGGCCTACATAATTTGTTTCTTCCAATCTGTGATAATTGAAATTTTATCTATGATTTGGACTCGGAATATGTAGCACATGTCAATAGTAAGATATTTTCACGAAATTCTATTACGCAGATTGATTATGACAGTGCAAAACGCCATACGTACTGAAAGACTTCAGTGAATGATGAAACCTCTCACACATATTTGGCACAATCAGATGAAGTTTTTTTTTTCGAATTGTCATACAACGAGGATTTGAAATAATAAAAATACAAAGTGACATAATAATAACATTTATTCGTTTCATTCTTGGCTTACTGCGCTTGCTCAGGGCACATGACTCTCAGACCCAATGCACACTTACCCCACGGTGTGGGTAGTGGTCGTTGGTTGATAATGCTGGCGCGCCTTCGCGAATGTATCGGGGCTTCGGGTGATAGGGCCTGACCAGCGCATACGCTGGTCAGGCGTATGCGCTGTTATAAGGCGTGTTATAAGTTGTTTATGAGCATCTCATACACACGAATACTCACTGCAGTTCACCAAGTGGTCGAGTGGATATATGAACACAGAGGGTCTAAGAGAGGAGTCACTGGATGTAAAGAGAACCTGCTCATTGATAAAGGTGTAACGCAGAACTCGATACAGTATGAGGGTAACCTCTCTATGGCCTGGAGAGATTACCGCAGAGCATTTGATACAACATCTCATGAGGTCATCTTGCATTTGCTCAGATGCCTTGCGGTACCCGACAATATAGTGAGATTCCTTGAACTACTGATTCTGACAGGCTCGCTTCACCATAACATCTGGTTAAAACAGGGTGGGTCACTTTCAGAAGGGGTGTATTTCAGGGCGATTCCCTCAGTTCTCTTCTCTTCTGCATCTCACTATTGCCATTATCCCTTGCGCTCAGAAATACTCGGGGGTATAACTGGGGCACCCCCGGAAACCGGAGGCACAAGGTCACCCAGTTGTTGTATATGGATTGTTCGGACTAGTCAGTCCTACTGTGATTTCCTTTGATTTAAAGTCGAAATGAACCAGGAATGAAACGTTTCACGGAAATATCTTAACTTTCAAATTATTGTCAATGTCAAAATCGTCTTTTTTATAAACAAAACCATGATCAATCATTTTAACATACTAAGTGAACAAAAGAGGACAAAATTAATTAAAAGCAACAACATTCTCCCCCTCGTGATGAAATCACTGCATTTGACAATTCATTTTCGTCAATAACCTGTACCACCCATTGATTTACAGATCTTTGTAACTGGCCATTTATAGGTTCCTGATTTTGTTTTTTGTGTTTTTTATGTTTTTTCTTCTTCTTATGCTTCTTGTCTTTTTTCCTTTTCTTTGTATCCCCTTTATCATCGGAACCGCTTTCCGACTTTGCTTTTTTTTATGCCTCTTCTCTTCTCTTTCGAAATATCTTCATCGCTATCCGAGGAGCTATTGTCCTTATGTTTTTTGATTTTTCTCTATCTCTTTCTTGTTTCTTCTTTTCCTTAGCGGGAACGTCACTGTCACTATAATCCTTCTTTGACTTTTTTCCTTTTTCTAAACTGACTGACCTGCGCTTCTTCAATCTCTTCTCTTCTTCAGAGTCGGAGCTCTGATGTCTTTATTTGCTTCCTTCTCCTCACTACTGTCACGTTTCTTCTTTTCCTTTTTTCTTTTTCATCTCCAGCTCTCTAGAAGATCGGGCATCATCATTTTTCCACAGTAGACCTATTTCAAAGTGATTTCCAACTCGATTGATTGTATTTTCCATTTTTTTCAACGCCCTATCATGTTCTTTAGATCTTCCATTTCCTTCCGGGCTTCTTATGCCAAAATTGACAATTTTGAACGAGTCTGTCACTAGATCGTAAATATCTTCATCAGTTTGTTCTTGAGATTTGCAACAAACGTGAAATATTGAAGAAGATTTATCAGCAACTTTTCCCTGGGGGTATCTGCCATGTACTACCTACCCAGTAATGTTTTTGATACAAACGGTGCATTCCAGTAACTTTGATATATTTTCCTTGCAATAGTCAAAGCACATTGATCCTGCCTAATAAGAATTGTTGGTTGTGCATCATAAAAGGAGAGTACAGGTGCTTCTTTTATGTATGGATAGATTCTACTCAGGTATTCGACATCAATAGTTCCTCTTGGAAGTGAGAGTCCACTTACAGTTCGAACTTCATTCATTTTGTATGTTTTTGAGTTCTTTTCCATTGAAGATACCTCTACTGTCACTCTTTTGGAGTTTTCTTCATTTTTGGTAACATTGTTAAGCCACTGGAAGCAGTGACTCAACCGGTCCATTCAGTCCTAATTCATGGGCAATTTTACTGTCTATCTTTGTTGTCGTAGCTGCCTCGTCTAGTAGAGCAAAGGTAGAAATTTCATTTTTAGGTCCTCGAAGTTTCACCGGAATTATTCGAATTATTCTTCTAATGAAGAACGTTTCTGCAACTCCGAAACTTATCATGGGTCATAACATACGTCGCTATATCTTTCAGGAGGAACTCCTTCAGTTTTCCTCCTCAAGATGTCCATGCCTCCTCAGGTTAGGCATGGACATCTTGTATTTGATTACTTTTGGTTCTTTTTCTTTTGCACGAAGAACCAATGTTTGGACTAGTCAGTCCTACCGTGATTTACTTTGATTTAAAGTCGAAATAAACCAGGAATCAAACGTTTCAAGTCAATATCTTTATTTTTTATAACTTTCAAATTATTGTCAATGTCAAAATCGTCTTTTTTTATAAACAAAACGATGATCAATTATTTTAACATACTAAGTGAACAAAATTAATTAAAAGCAACAAAATGGATGATCTTCAGTTTTATACCTCTGGAGGAAAGGAGGTCCATCAGTCCTTGAGGGTGTACATCTCGTAGGTGGAAGCATCCTACATCATCTGGATGCCGGAGAATCGTATAATTAACGGCGGGTGGAACAACAAAACTCACAAGGGGTAATAGCAGTGAAGAACTCTCTCCGCGGCAAGTCATTGTCCGACAGATCTGGTCATTGGAACTGTTGGAAAAGAACAAAGTTGCTGTGAATAATATGCTTGCCGTTCCAACACCACTCCCACACGACGGAAAAATCCTAAAAATGATGCTCCTCCAAAGGAGTCCGTTCCAAGTCGTCCGTTCCACGGTTGTACTTCCCTCGACAACAGGGAAGCCGTGGACTTTTGAGTTTGGAGTGTCTACATGAGAAAATGGTACTGTATGAAGCCTGTAAAGTCATGAGGAATTCGGATCCTCTTCTCTGCATGGTCTGCGACCATGAGAGAGCTGGAATTGGAGCACTTCTCTTTAGGGCAGCTGCCCGAGCAGCTGGTGAACTTGGTTTAGTTTTTGACACTGGACGAGGTGATCACAACTACGTCAAGTTGGAACCTGTTAGCAAAAAGCTGGATTTTGGGTGTGGATTTTGGACTGGCGGCGTCATCTGTCCATATTTCTTTGAGAACGACGTTGGCCAGGCCATTACTGTCAACGACGAGCACTATAAGTCTTGTTCTTCTTCTCTTTTTTTTGTAGTCTTTGCTTCTCCTCGGCGCAGTAGACCAAACGATGATTACCAACTTCTTTTGGCCTGAATTGGATGATCTACACACCAACGACATGTGGTTTGAGCATGACGGAATTACGTACCACACAACTCATGCCACATCGTATATTCTGCACGAGTGATTTGAGGGCATGGTCATCTCACGTGGAGGTGATTTGAACTGGTCATTGAGATCGTGAGATTTGACCCCGTTACATTTCTTCTTGTGGGGCTTTCTTAAGTCGCAGGTGTATGTGAATGAGCCACAAACCACAGCGGTCCTCAAAGCTGACATAACCCATGCCATCGGTCGATGTTATATTTCACACATAATGGCATCAATAGGTGTTTCAAACTGTGCGTTAGTAGGAAAAAGTTGGGATTATTAATGTAAATGGTCCAGTTCACTAGTACTGGGGTTTTTCATTAGTTTTTTATCAAGTCAATTGCTCATTGAAATGAATTCTCATTGTACCATTACTCACCGCACTGATTGCATAGCTGCTTTCACAATCTTTTTGGTCTCTCACTGGCAAAACCGCACCTTTTTCAACCCAATTGATGGAGTCGGGAATGTTGGTTGCGACATTCACCGTTTTTCTAGGTTTAGTTGCCTTAAGTACAGACTTTTCGTTTTTTCTGAAATATAATAATCATAATCATAATCATAATCATAATCATAATCATAATCATAATCATAATCATAATCATAATCGTAATCGTAATCGTAATCGTAATCGTAATCGTAATCGTAATCGTAATCAAAATCAAATCGATGAAATCAATTTGGAACCTAACTGTATCAACGATTACTATTGCTCTATCGCAACTAAACTTACTAATGACATTTCCACTAATATTCATTTTAATACAATGCAATATCTTGAGAATGTAAGAATTGACGAAAACTTCTTTTTATTTCCAACAGACCCAGATGAAATAAAGAGTGCTTAAAGGACATTAAGAACAAAGAGGCTTCTGGAGCTGATGGTTTGTCTATAAATGCTGGAAAAATTTCCCCCGGCAGCTATTGACGCGCTTACTGATATAATAAATGAATCGTTTTTCTCGGGAACATTTCCAACAATACTTAAATCAGCCATGGTGATCTCAATTTACAAAGGAGGGGATAGGGAGGATCCATCAAATTACAGACCAATATCCTTTCTATCTACTATTGCAAAACTCATAGAAAAATTAGTAAAGAGGCGACTCATGTCATTTGTCATTGAACGTTAAATACTAAATGGTAACCAATACGGTTTCCAAACCAACAAAAGTACAAATGACGCTATCTATAAGTTTTTAGAAAACGTGTACACTAATCTTAATGATCAAGAACATCAGAGGTATATCCCATAAATGGATGACATCTTACTTGCAAGACCGGGAACAATATGTGAAAGTTTCGGGTGCAGTATCTGAGGAAAAAAAATGACCAGCGGAGTTCCACAAGGTTCTGTCTTGGGGCCCATATTATTTTTGTTATATGTGAATGATCTCACGAACTTGAATATTAGTGGTAGGTTTCCTTTATTTGCAGATGATGCAACTATAGAATGGCACACTAAAGATAAGAATATTCTCAGCCAATTGACCTCCTTAGATCTAACTGAAATAAAAAAGTCGTGCGATGCCAATCAAATGGTCTTCAACTCTAAGAAAACTAAAGTGTTATCATTTAAATGGGACATCGACAAAATACAACTAGATAATGATACACTTATGAAATCTGATAATTACAGATTCTCATGTGTTGTAGTGGACCAAAATTTAACGTTTGATGACCATATTATGGCAATGGCAAAGAAATTGTCATCTGGGTGTTATGCTATCAGAGTTATTAGAAATGACATCGGTTATCTTATTGCTAGAAAAGCCTACTTTGCTATCCTGAAATCTCACATCAGATATGTAGTACATCCACTTTTAACATCCGACAATCCATATTGGTTTGCATAATTTTAATTTCATTTAATTATCATGACTTCCTGCTCATTTTAAGCAGTTAGAATTTATGTACTATTATATTTAGGAGCTTTGTCAATAAGAATTCTATTCTTCAGATAATAAAGCATGCTTTGATTTGATTTTGATTTGATTTGAATCATTAAGAGTATTTGTTTACTTAGCGACGTTAATCACGGTTTATTTTTCGACCAGGTAAATGAAGTGAATGATAAACGGACCGCAGTCACCAAGCTTTCGAATTATTGGGGGTGAACTACAATAAAATATAATATACTCACCTTAAACTCGACCCAAAGATCTTGATCCGAAGCAGCGTTGATTGCAACAGTCATGAAGGCGAAAATGATGAATAGTTTCATTTTAAATTCGGCTGAAAATATTAGTATAAATATTAATCAAAAGTTTCAAATTCACTTCCTTTTGTATCGAGTAAAGGTATATTATTTTGTTTGAAAAGTTTTGTCTGTTTTGATAGCAAAATTGCATTATTTCAGCTCGTAATTGATCCTGCATCCACCGTTTTCTCCAGATCTAGCTCCCACTGACTTTTTCTTATTCTCAGAATTCAAGATGCTACTTGCTGGAAAGAAATTTAGCGCCGATGAAACAGTAATCATCGAAACTGGGGCCAGGTTTGAGGCTGAAGGAAGAGGAAGATAAAATTGTTTTATCTTCCTCTTGAAGATGATCACTTGGTGATCAAAACACGTGTCGGGGTGTAAAAATAACGATTTGGTATTGGGAAAAAACTCCAGTAATATTCATTACTACACCAAAGGTTCCAAACAGTACATCACAAGTACGAGAAGAAATGCTGTCTTGTTTCCTTTCACTACTGATAGGAATCGCTTCCTTTTCCCGTTTTTCCGCTAATCTCTCGCTTTTTCGATTTTTTGACATGTCTGAATAGGTTGATTCGGTAAAGGCGTAGAAGGACCAATTAATGTTGTGTTTCACCTGTAATATCTAAGTTAAATCCGGTCTCGAAGAACGAAATATTGAAATTCATTGTCAATCAAAAAAGTTTTTTTAATTCTCCTTGTTTTAGTTACAACAACTGAATATGACTATATACAGGGTAAATGAGAGAGTAAACAAATAATAAAGAATATAAATACTGAACACTAATTAATACACTTCACCATAAAGGGTTTTACAAAAACCACAACACGTGTTTTGCCATACACTAGCTTCCTCAAACATAAACTGTTTATGCTTGAGAAAGCTACTATATAGCGAAACACGTGTTGAGGTTTTTGTAAAACCCTTTATAGTGAAAATCATATAATCAATAGTAGATGTAGGAGATAATTATATGAAACAATTTTAAAAAAACATAGTGTAAACAGTAGAATAGTAAACAAGCAAACAATCGTGATGTCAAGCAGCCAGATTAGTTTGAAAATATTCATCAAGCGAATAAAAGGCTTTTTTGTTGAGAATATTTTTAACGCTATTTTTGAAATCAATGGAATTTGAAATGTTCTTGATGAATGTTGGAAGTTTATTAAATATTTTCATAGACATAACATGAGGTCCGTTTGATACAGATGTTTATTTGTGTACAGGAACTATCAGATTATAATTTTGCTTGAGAGTATAACCAGCAGCTATGCGGATCGTATCCCTTTGCCGAAACTCATGGCAATGATTCTTAATGTGATTGACACAATTTAAAATATACCTGGATATCACAGTTAAAATTTGTAACTTTGTATATAACTCACAAGTATCACCATATTTTTTAAAACATATGGTTTTTAGTATATTTTTTTGAGCAATCAACAGATCATTCAATTTGCTGCTGTTACCGTAGCAGACTAAGCAGTAATTTAGACTTGAGTGAACATAGGCATAGTAGTAGCTTAATAAAATGATAATGGGAACATAATTTTTGAGATTCCAAATAACGAAACACTTCTTGGATAATTTTATAGAAATAGCGCCAATAAGATCATTCCAGGATAATTGGGAGTCAATGTTCAACACTAAGAATTTGACTGATTTTTTCTGCGCAATAGATTTAGTATTAGCTCTAACCAATATACTCCAGTCCATTTCTCTAAGTGAGAAAACAATGGTATTAGATTTAATGTTATTTAGTACGAGGCCGTTTCTGGCGCAGTAGTTAAGCATATTAGCAATGAATCAAATCAATCAAATAACTATCCGAAACTCTTTCTAGATATCCCCAGGTAACCATATAACGTATTTAGGGTTCTCATAGAACCCCTAAATGTCCCCTGAAATGGTATTTTCACAGTAAGCACATTATAAACAAATTGCGATCTATATTATACAAGTTTCATCAACTGAATGATATACTTAACATTGAAAAAAAAAATCTTCAGTTTGTTTTCTTACTTACTTTACTTGATGAAGATCCATAGTGCCCTAAGGTATATATTGGTCAAACAGGCAGAACATGTAGGAATCGAATCCAGGAACATCATACGAGCTTATGTGAATAAGAAAACAAATGCAACATATTCAAATCATCTCATAGAAGAAAATCATATCTTTAGCGAGAGATTTGAATAAATCACCATTATTGAACTTGTTTTCTTAAAAACCGAGAAAGAATTATTATTGATGTAGATGTGAGGTAATATGCTTTAGGTGATCATAATTAAACAGTTACCTTAGGTAGAGGTTCAGGTAATTTATCGGAGGTAGTCTCAATTATGGTTACCTGTAGTATATAAATATTAATGTAAGAACAAGGTAAAGTATTCAAATCACTTGAGAAAGCTACTGTGCTAGCGAAAAATGTTGTAATATATTTTTCAAATAAAGGTTGTGTGTAAGCTTTCTATAGAGCGACAACGGTCTAAACAAAATGAACTGAGCAAACTAATAACTACGAAAGATATTCAAAAGGCTTTTTCGATTTTTGAAAACTGATGTTCTTTCATCTTGAGGCAAGCTAGTATGATTTCGGGATCAGCAATATTAATGGCGAATACACAAAACGGTTGCAGGAATCAAGTTAGCGAGATACTACGTTCCATATCGACGCAGGGCGGCTAATAGACCTTTTATGTCTGCCGTGCGGCGCATACCCGTTAAAATTTAAGCCAAGTACTTTTGCTAAGGACTGAACAGCATTTCCTTGACCGGGGGATAAAATGTCACAAGTAGGATGAGCGAAAAAAATTTACAATATATATATGTACAATAGTGAAAATTACTATATAGTGAAAACCATACAATAATGAGTTTAATTATGAATTTTCATAAAATATCGGCCAGTTATATTCAATCATACAAATGAACTCACGTATGGGGTGTAACACTTGTTGTATTTTGATGCTGTCATTAAAGCAACGAATTAAATCATTTCTCATTTATTTTACCTACAGTTTCTAATAATTATTTCGAAAATTAATTCTAGTATAGCAATGGATAGCTTCCATCACTCGCAACACCGCATTGATTATTTCTATTGCGGATCAACCTAATATATCCTCCTTCTCCCCAGTTTGTACCCCAAGAGTTTTTGATCAACCAGTAATCCTCGCCATCTTCGTTTCCGTAACCGACAGCCAAAACACCATGATTGAGATAGTAACCAGTGCACTCCGGGTGATTAAAGATCCCACCCCCATATGATTGCCAAATGGAAGCTTCCACGGCAACAGAGATTGGACCAACGGTACCTGCAAAAGGAGTCCAGATTTCAACACAAAAAATTTCAGTATATCCTGCGCATGATCTCATCCGGAACTTTTAGTCTACGAAAGAGATGATCATCTAAGTTATGTTGGGTTAACTCCAAAGTGAGTGGATTTAATCAACCCTGTACTACGACCTACGTGGTCAACACCAATTCAAATGGCATCAAATTAGTTCGTTTTAGGTTCGAAGGGGAGATTGTAACTCTGCTGAGCATTGATTCAGGCCACAAAAGCATATGATAGATTTCATGAAATCCTTCAATATTATATTGAGGTATCTTTTCCAGATACCTGTCTGAAACAGACAAAAATACAAAGAAAGTCGACTCTAACCCCCTTACCCCCGAACTCTATAACCTCAAGAACATGGTTTCTCTATATTCAGAATGCGCGAGAGTGAACGAAAATTTCAAGGATATATGTCGCCAAGTAACTATAACATACAGGGATAAACTAAAGCAGAATAATCAAAGATGCATCGAGCATAAGATAAATAGTTCTCACAATGAATCAAAAACTATGTGGCAAACTATAAATAATATTCAGAAAAAAAACCATAAGCCCAAAGATATTTCCATTTTTAGGGGAGAACATAAGGTGTCATGGGTTGACATGGCTAACAATTTTAATGCACATTTCACGAAAGCGGAAGAACAAAGAGAATATTATCTCAATTTCATGGAAAATATAGTCGCACTCTGCCCAAACTCCATATTTCTCCACCCAATCAAGGAATATGAGGTTTTTGATTTAATAAATGAATAAACGAATTCTAATGCTAGTGGATATGATCAGGTCTCAAACAATCTTCTGAAAAAATGCATGGAAGAAATAGTCTATCCCCTGACCTATCTGATAAATCTTCCCATGGAACGGGGAATGTTCCCTGAGAAATCGAAAGTTGCAATCATTACCCCAATCTCTAAATAAGGAGACTCAAATAGCTATGAGAACTATAGAGGGGTGAGTCTTCTCTCTAGTATATCCAAGGTATACGAAATGAATATTAAAAATCAGTTACTAGGGTTTCTCCTCAAAAATGAATTGCTTTCGACAAACCAGCATGGTTTCATGCAAAATAAAAGCAAGGAAACAGCTTTATATGATTTCATAGAACACGTAGTAACAGCCTTGGATAACAACTGCAAATTTGTAGTTTGTTCATCGATTTTTCTAGAGAATTTGACTGTGTGGATCACTATGTACTAGTCCAGAAAATGCATGGCTATGTGGTTCGTGGAGTTGCCCAAAATTTGATGACGTCATATCTAGAGGATAGGTCAAAAACAGTGAGAATTCAAGTTGTTCAAAGTCAGTCCTTGGCCTGCAAGCAAGGAGTTCCACAGGGGTCTATACTCGGACCACTGCTTTTTCTTATTTATGCAAACGACCCAAATAGTCTTTCAAAGGTACATATAGTTGCATATGCAGACGATACAAATGTTCTGGTCACTGATTATAATACATTAGCACTTGCAGAATCAACAGAATCCATATATGAGAAAATAATGAAATGGGCTGAAAAAAATCATTTGGCACTAAATATCAGCAAAACAGCATTAGTCAAATTCACAATGCAGAACACCACCGAAATTCTCAAAATATATGAAGATAGCCAACTAGAGGTGACATCCAAACCAGAAACAAAAATGCTAGGTCTAATTCTAGATGACACTAGCCTTGTCTTTGAAGGTACGTTTGAAAAGAGCAGGATAGCATTTAGAAGTGGATGCCTGTGAACATTCTTGGGGTAAGCCAGTCGTTGTTACAATAGGTTTCAGATCATCTGTTTGGGAGAATATAGGTGGTGGTGGTAGCGGATGCTCTGTCACAGAAGCGGTTCAACGTGCTAGATCAAAATTTACTTACGTGCTCAAAATATCAACAATCTCAGAAATAAACGTAACACCGATATAAAGCGATTGGCTGCATAAGTTGAATTGGCACTGATAACATTCCCTAGAAGTCCGTGCATGATGAGGGATTGCCAGAATAAACTTTCAGGAGATTTTGCGTCTGTCACACCTTACCCCGTGTTACAACCTGCTCCGGTCTCCCCTATTGGCTCTAGACAACACCGGGTATAAATACCAATCAAAAACCAAACTATGACAGGACTATATTTTGCAAATGAAAATTAACATTGAAACTATCCGTTCAGTCTATATACATCCGATGAAAAATGCATGCAAACTCAAAATGCACTAGAAGTATAATTCTGGGAAATGAACAGATCACTATCCTCATCAAGATTCTTTTTATCCAAGAGTGACGTCCAAAGTAGTCTCGGAATACCGTGAAAAAACGGAATGGCAATCAGATTATCAACTTCCTATTTGAATACACATGAACAGGTCTTCATAATAGGAAAGAGAAGAACTGTGGAATTGCTTCAACAAAGCAGGGATGGCTCAGAATATTTGTGCGAGAAGTTTCGAAAATTCACTCCAGATTTTAGCATTTCCATAAAATCCTTTCTTGCAGTAATTCAAAGTATCGTGACAATTTTCATAAATGTCTTTTTCTTGATATTTTCAACAGGTAGAAAAAGGTGATGCTGTTTCAATACACGAGTAACGAAAAAAGAAGCAATTAATGCGTTTTCATGTCATCTCCACGTAGATCTATTATGGAAACTAAACATCGATGACTGGCCTTACCTACTGCGTTTTTGAGAGCCTGTTCGTTTCTTCCTACGGAAGCGTAGCCGCGCACTCTGATAGCGCTACGAGAAGAATCGGCTCTGCAGGATCCTCTGACACCTCTGTAGGGATAGGACGCCTCCGTTTCTAATCCATAATTTGCGACGTAATTGAAAGCATATTCCATTGAACCCCCTTGGCAAGCGTTGTTGCTAGTTGAACAGTCTACGAGTTGTTGTTCGCTAAGGGACACTCTTCTACCGTGCTTGATGATGCTTTGTCCTTCAAGACTTCCTGTCTGAAATTTGGAACTAAATCAAAGTAAGTAGCAGGGGAGCCCCCGATGCAAAATAGGGATTTACTCGAGCGTCATTGAGACATATTAGGTTACAAAGCTCAGATGACAAGAAGAAAAAATGTTATATGATATGTACATTTTCATCGGTAGGGGAAGCGGCTATAAATTTTCAAATATGTAAAAAAATACTGTTGCTTGGACATACTCGAGCGCGTCAGATATTGTCCTACGTATTTTTAATAATGTTGGTATGTTACTCTGATCATTTGTATGATGTGGGTAGTTGTACGTTAAAAGTGGAAAGAAAAAAATGTAATCAAGCGCGTCAGATTTTCTAAGGGGGTGTTAAGTGTAAAAAACATTTTTAACTGTAATTGAAGAGAGGTGTACTGAAAATTCCAATATTGTAATGGATGATAGTGATTTGGAAACTTTACGCAGATGCATAATTCATTTCCATATCGAAGAGAAACTAGTTCCTACGCTCAGAGAAATTTATAAAACTATATCATTCGAGATATTGACCATCAGAGTTGCAGGAAGTGAAAATTAACAGGAAAATAATAATAGATATGGTGCAGCTGCTACCCCTAATAAATAATCAACATTTTTTTTTGATAACACTTCCCATTCCTGAGTTACAGGAAAGGAGACAAGTTTCTGTTGAAACACCCTGTATATGCAGGCCCACACTGAATTCGCAGCTTACCACAATCAACAAAAGATTGACCACTCACCATTGTTAAACATTTTTTCATAATGGCAGGTATTATTCATATTCATATACCTGTTGTCCAAGATATGAGATTATAATTGTTTTTCAAATTCTACCTGTTATCTCATTAACCATTATCCAATTAACTGAAGTAACTACTACTATTACTGGAGTTTTTTCCCAACACCAAATCGTTATTTTTAACACCTCGACACGTGTTTCGATAACCAAGTGATCAAAGATTAAAACAGTTTTAATCTTCCTCTTTGAAGATGATCACTTGGTGATCGAAACACGATCTTCCTCTGCACAAGGTCTCACCTTTTATGGGTTTTCTATTTTATTTGCTATAATTTGAATGTATTTATTATTCATTGTTTCATTGAGCAAATACATTATTATTTTTTTTTCACCGTAGTGTGCACTGGTCAGGCCCTATC